TTATCAACACATCATTTTGTATGTAAAGCCTTAAGGCTTTATAGAATGAAACTTGTGCAAGGTTGATACTCATGCAATGTAACAAATTGTTACAGTGATAACATATAACTTTGCCTTATGTAAACATTTCCTATGTCTCCAAAATTTGCTCACTAGAATACAAAGTTATATTTCCTAGGGGCACCTGGGTGGCTCAGCTGGTTGAGCATCTGACTTCTGCTCAGGTCATGATCTCACAGTTTGTGAATTCGAGCCCCACGTTGGGCTCTGTGCTGACAGCTCAGAGCCTGGAGCCTGTTTCAGATTCTGTGTCTCCCTCTCTCTCTGTCCCCCACTTAAGATCTGTCTCCCTCTCTCTCAAAATAAATAAACATTAAAAATATTTTTAAGTTATATTTCATATGTTATCACTAATATTAATAATTTATGGAATAAAGCCCCTCCTACCTTGAATAAAGTCCCCATAAAGATTGTTTAGAAATTAATTTTTAAGAATTTTTAAACAATAATATAGTATTTTAAGTGAAATTTCCCCCAAATGATAAATTTACTACAGAAAATTGACAGCATTAAACCTTTCACTACTTTTCAATTTCTCTCTTGTCCAGATTATGAGCATAAGCCTTGAGATGCTATTAAAAGTACTGACTCACCTTGTTTACCTAAAGTTTGAATACAGAGTATTCATGACAAAATTGCCATCCCTGTCGATAAGAGTGGCCCCTAGACCAGTGGTTCTCAACCAGGGGTGATTTGTCCCCAAGAGACATTTAGCAATGTCTGCAGACATTTATGGCTGTCACAACTGGATGGGTTCTACTGGCATCTAGTGGGTAAAGGTATGTTGTTAATACCCAGGATGGCCCCCCACAATAAGAATTATCTGGACTAAAATATCAATAGGTTACTGTTGAGAAATCTTGCTCTAGATTATAAATGACAAGAAACTCCAAAGGAAATGACACATCTCTTCTCCAACTAGAGAAAATCAAAATGGAAATTCCGTATGCCTATACTTTTGCCTCTAAAAATAATTTTCAGGAAAAAAATTCCCTACAAAGCTTTTGCTATAAATTGCTGTATACAGTTTTAGTGTGCTTTTGCATAACTGTAAATATGGCACCTGCTTCAAGAGAAGAAAAAAGCCTCAATATGATATCAAGCTATGCTTTCTAACTGGATATTTGTTTCTACAGTGTGTGTATATGAAGAAACACACACACATACATAGGCTTATATAGGCTTAGAAAATTTCTGAAAGAAAAATTTTAATACTGGTTGTCACTGAAAAATGAAATTTGAAGGGTCAGTGGGGATGAGAATGACTTTTACTTTGCATGTTATATCTTCTACCTATACTGCTGAATTTTTCACCAGGAGACTATATGATTTTTATAACTTAAAAATATATACAGTATATGCACACATCCTTATGAGAGAAAATTAAAAGTCATAAATCTTACAAGAGTCTTTTCTTTAGGAATTTTCTTCTTTTTACTTAAAAAAAATCAAAACACTATAGAGGCTCCTGGGTGGCTCAATCAGTTAAGCATCTGACTCTTAATTTCAGTTCAGGTCATGATCTCACAGTTTATGGGTTCGAGCCCTGAGTTGGCCTCTGCGCTGACAATTTGGAGCCTGCTTGGGATTCTCTCTCCCTCTCTCTCTGCCCCTCCCCTGCTTGTACTCTTTCTCTCAAAATACATAAATATTAAATTTGTTTTTTCCAACCTGACCTCTATTCTGAACAATGGGTACATTTAATAGCATCCAACGCAAGTTCCAATTTCTATTCAAGGCCTTGGACAGCTAAGGAACATGCTTGCTATGCCTGAAGAAATACAAAACAGGTATTTACCAATGTTTAAATTTTTTAAAAATTTTATTTATTTATTTTGAAAGAGAGAGCAAGCAGGGTAGGGACAGAGAGAGAGATAGAGAGACAAGAGAGAGAGAATCCCAAGCAGGCTCCACATTGCCAGCACAGAGCCCTCTGTGGGGCTCAAACTCACGAACTTTGAGATCATGACCCGAGCCGAAATCAAGAGTTGGATGTTTAAGTGACTGAGCCACTCAGATGCCCCTAAAAAAATTTTTTTAACATTTATTCACTTTTGAGAGACAGAGAGAGATGGAGAATTGATGGGGGGTGGGTACTGGGCAGAGAGAGAGGGAGACAAAGAATCTGAAGCAGGCTCCAGGCTCTGAACTGTCAGCACAGTGCTGCACACAGGGCTCGAACTCACGAACCTGCGAGATCATGACCTGAGTCAAAGTCAGACGCTTAACCAATTGAGCTACCAGGCACTCCACGAGTGTTTAAAACAAGAACCAAAGATCCCAAATGGTGGTATTCTGTAAGGTGGTACCATTCTAATAAAAATTTTACAAAAATACTCAAGCTCCTTCTGGAAACTAGGTTTTTTGACTTAGCCAGCAAGGAAAAACAGCCTGTTTTTTCAAAACTATTGGCTCTAATAATGAATTAAAAAAAAAAGGTCCTTGGAGTATCTATGCCTCTGTACACAAAATGTATAGAACTTCGACTTATTCTCAAGCAAATACACTAAGCCTCCACATTTCTTACTTATTTCTCACCAAGTCCTGCCCTATTGGGGGAACACGACAAAGTTTACTCTCAAACTGTAAAATAACTTGTTATTTCTCTGGATGTCTAGATTCTAAATACTTGGTTCTAAAACATCTAGGGAAGGTGAAAAAAAAGATTTTAGGATTATTCATAAAATGCCAATTGGGGGAGTGTTTTTTGAAGAACGTTATGGTCTCTTCATACCAGGAATTTAAAGGCAATAATATGGGAGAAGATATTTCATTTCACTCCCACAGAGATTGTAGTCTACCACACACACTGTACAGGAGAGACTAGATACTCCAGGAATTTCTTCTTTATATGGTATGAGAGAAAAAAGACGTAGAAACGAAATTTCCTTTCCCCACAGGTTAAGAAAGATATACACACTGACCATCATCTTAGACCTTGGTAAAGTCTCTGGGTATCCTAGACACAAAATGAGACTCACCCATATACACTTAAATACCTAAATTTTTCTTAGGCACAGAACAGTTAAGTAACAGGAAAATAAGTTCTTCTACCATTAGCCTAAATGGGTAAAAGAATCATGAATATATAACTTCCATAATAAACATCAAAAAACCAAAGAGCTGTGGATTCTGCCCACAGCTTTAATCGCATGGTAGGGAGACTCCAAATGAAATACAGTAAGGTAGAGACAGAAAGAGAGACTGAGAGTGGGTGTGTGTGTGTGTGTGTGTGTGTGTACAAGCCTTACAGAAATGGTTACTACAAAAGCTCATTTCCCAGATATATTTATGTAAAAAATACTATTTATGTAAAAATATTATTTATGTGAATTAGTGATCTTTTATCTCACTTATGATGATTATGTGAAAATGGTCCAGAAAATCAAGGACATCACATTTAGACCAAAGCAAACCTTTTCAGTCTAACAAGTTAAACAAACAAACAAACAAACAAAAAAAACCTCTAATGTTTAGAGTCTAAAGAAATTCCCACTTATTTCCTAGGTAAAAAGTACATGTGTTTTAGGTTCCTAGTCATCAATTTCCATTGAAAGGATAAAAGAAAGCCTTCCATAAGTACAAGAGTGGAGGTACTCCAGAGACTCTCCCCATAATTGTGTACTCAAATAAAATTCTGTCCCACTTTGGCTTAGAAGTTACTTATAGTGAAATTCAAAGATATGGACATTCAAGGGATTAGCTCCCTTACATCCCACACGCTTTTTTCCAAAGCAAAATGTTGGAATGAAAATGTACTAAGGTTTTAAATCTAAATGAACCCCTGTTCAGGCATGGTAAGACAATGGTAGAATGGTAAGACAATGCACTAACTGTATTCAGCAACTCACAAATAGTTTCTTATTCCTCTCAAATACAACAGCCAGGATAGTTGTACACAGAGAAATCTCTGTACTTTAACACCAAGATCAGAGGTTAAAATAATTGGTCATAGGGGAATGAACCAGGCACCTTAGAACCAAAACAGAATACTCTTGAGCACTTAGAACAATAGCCATAAAGGAACAGTACCATATCCAAGTCATGGTCAAGAGAAAAAAGTACATACATAAAATATCTCCTTTTTCCCTAAAGCCCAAAAGATAATGATGCCTTGCATCCCATGTTGCTCAGACCTAAAAACACACAGTTAAGAGTTAAAGAGTTAAAAGAAATTAAGGATCTAATCATTAATCTCTGCAAAAGGTGTCCAGGGTTTCACCTTCCCCAAGACTAAAAACCTACAGACTTCATCTACCCAACTATTCCGAAGCTCAAAGATGCACTGGAATTTCCTTTTCCTGCATAACTTCACAAAAGGTCCCAGGTGAAAGGCTCACGTGCTTTTTCAGAGTAAAAGCAGAGAGCTTCTTCATACTAACCAGTTTCAAAGTAAAAAAGGAAATTAAGAAGTCTTCTTACATACACAGGTAAGGCACAAGCAAATAAATGTCAGACAACTCAACTTTGGGCACGGGCATATAGTGGAAATGGTCTTGCAGCTAGCAAACTCGGTTTCTCGGTCTGTCTCTCCCTCTGTCTCGCTCTCGCTCTCTCTCTCGCTCTCTCTCTCTCTCGCTCTCTCTCTCTCTCTCTCTCTCAGTACCAAGGGCAGGGACTCAGGCAAGACCCCGCCCCCCCATCTCCAAAGCGGGGTGGGCGGGAGGTAGCCAGAGGAGTCCTTGTTCCCGCGCGAAGCTTGGAGACCAAAGGACTCCCCATTGTGGGTCTACGGATGGTGACGGGAACCGGTCCGGCTCGAGCCGCCGGCTGAAGAGTAAGCTGAGGGCGCACTAGGCCCGCACCGCTGCCACTGCCGCCATGGAGCCGCTCGCTGTCAAAGAACGCCGGGGGAGCGAGAAGGTGGCCCCGACCCTATGCTGGCCCAAAGAGAATTCATGCCTCACACTGTATGGGAGACGGGGGTCCTGGAAGCGTACCTCGGACACCTCGTCCTCGTCGCTGCCAGAGGCACCACCTCCACCCCCGGTCCTCAGCACCGCCGCCGCCAACTTGAAATCCAGCGCCGCGTCCCCTCCGGCCGCACCGCTGCCGCCGCCACCGACTCCAGGCGCGGGCCCGGCCTCCCCAAAGAGTCTCACGGTGCGAATCCCCAGCCCGACCCCTCCCGGCGGAGGCGGCTCCGAGGCCCCGGCTGGGGCGGATCGCGGAGCCACCGAGTCCAGGTCCTCCTCAAAGGAGGTGCCGCCGCCTCCGCCATCGGTCAGCATGGTTCGCACGCGGAGCCGGAGACGCTGCCGAGTCACCCGCAGCCACCGCCGCCGCCGATCCCGGGAACGAGAGGAACAGCAGGAGGAAGAAGCTTCTCCTTCCCCCCGTCCCAGCAGCGCCACTAACTTCTCACTGCCTAACCTGCTGCCTCCCGCCCCTCACACTCGCCACTGGCTGCAGTTCCCCAGCGGCTGCAGATCATTGGGCAAGGTGACCCGTCGCTCAGGCTCTTCGTCACGCGCCGCTTGCTGGCTCGCGGCCCCCAAGCTGCTTTGACCCGCGCAGGCCTAGGCGGTTGCGAACACCCGCCTCCTAGTCCCCATGCGCCGACTTCCGGTCTTTTTCTACATCTATTGGTCAACCTCTGTAACCATCGCGTCACGACCTTAAAGTGGATTAGTTGGCCTTGTGGTCAGTCATAGTGACCCCTGACAAGGGGAGGCTTCATTGGCGCCATAAAGTGTCGATCACTTTGTCACAGGACGTCGCGTGGTACAATTGGCAGGCAATAGTACCATTCATCCCGCCCCCGTCTGAGGTGACGGGAAAGGGTTGGGGAATTTCCACTTCTGATTAAAATGACGGCTGAGGTGACGACCCGCCAGAATTAGTGAGATTTGGAGTAGAATTCACCCTGAGCTTGGTGAGGCTTATACGTTAAGGATGCAAGAGGCACAGAGGTTACCAAGCTCCCACCTGTCGCTCTCCGCCAGACGCCGAGACTGCGGCCGGAGAGTTGCTGCACGGGGATTGGAGGAATGAAGCAATCAGTCTCGTCTAGTCCCCACCTTCCTCGCAGTCTCTGGTTGGAGGAGCGGAGCGTCAGTCACTAGAGCGGTCGCCACCTCTGGGACAGGTGAGATTGTGTAACCTATCTGCCGCCTGCTCTTTGGGAGGGGGTAGGGGGCTGGGACAGGCGAGGGGGCAGGGCGGTTCCTGCTTGGCGCCTCCAGCCTTTCCGAGTGGAGGAGCCCAGCGCCTGGAGCTGAGGGCACCAGGGGGGGCTGCTTGGGATGGCCGCCCCGGGGCGACTCGGCCCGCCCGCGTGCCGGGACGTGGCTGGGCGCGGCGGTTCTGCAACCTACCGGCGGGATGGCCCCGCGGGGCCGCGTTCTCTTGCTGGAGGAAGGCGGAGGGCCTGAGGGCTGGACAGCGCCATGCCTCAGTACTGGGAACTGTCCCACGAAGGACGGTGGGAAGGCCGCTAACACCTCGGGGGAATCAGACCACAGGGCTGAAAGCGGTGGTTAAGAGTGTATGCTCTGGAGCAGTTTCCAGTACTGGTGCCGCCACTTATTTGCTGTGTGACCTACGAGCGTTTGGTGTTTAATCTGTGTGCCTTTCAGTTCGTTCGTTCATCTGTGAAATGGGGCTAATATGAGTACGTCCCTCCTCGCATTATTGTTATGAATACATTAGCTAGCTAACTAACAGAAAGCGCTTAGCAAAGTGCTAAACTTAAAGCCCCATTTTAGTTACTCTTCCTTGAGGAGTCTTCCACCTGCCCCTGGGTCCCGCCAACTAAACTAATTCTTGTCAGTTCTTGGTGATGCAAAACAAGCTAAGTAAGGCGGGGGCTGGGTGGGGGTGGCAGAGGTATCCCCCCACCCCCACCCCACCCTAAGGATCTGTCTCTACTTCTGTTATCTCTATCCGTCTATCTCCTTTGTCAATGAAGAGGGGTTTTAAAATACTCAAGCTTCAAGTAATCCTATGATCAAAGATCACCAGAAGAAAGGCATTTGGTGAAGTTTGTATGGCAAATGCCCCTTGACCCAGAGAAAGTCTATATGACTTAGGTTGGCTCAAAGCAAAAGATCTGGCACGTCTCCTCTCATACAGCTCTAACAAAGGGCTGTGTGTATCTTGATTGTGCAATTTTTAATATTTCACCTCCCTTGAAATTGGAATCTGATAATTCTATAAAGAATATAACAATTTAAAAAAAATGGATTCTGCCAAACATTTATTTAAAGAACATTTTGAAGATTGTGAACATTTCATTGGCTTGGTAATTGCTAATTTTGGCATTTCACATGCAAAAGGGGGGGGGTGTTTTCTATAAGCAGAATATATTAGGTGAATGATCTTTCTAGATAATAATTTGTAGGAAATGGAAAGAACTCTTGTAGCTTTTCTACAAAACTATTTTGATATAAATGCCATGTGTCCTGTCTTTAGTTAGAATTTGTGGAACTTAATTAATTAACCTGTTTCCTTGGTGCTGTTTAAATTTTCAAGGTATGTGTGACTAGGTCACAACACAAACTAATAGCACCAACGAAAGAAACCCAGCTCTGCCCAACCCACTTCAAAGCTGGATTATCCAGAATTGGTATGGATACATCCTTAGGCAAAAACAGGTATTGACTGGTACAACATTACAAAGGAACTGCTTGTCATTCCTACCATTAATACAAAAATAATTTCTGATGCAACTCCCTGAACTCATTAAATTCTTTGAAGAAATGTAATGAAACTCAAGAACAGAGAGAAAGGAAATCTATGCATTTCCCCCAATATATTTGAGAGAGAAACATACAATCTCTACTCACTGCCTAACAATCAACCCTGTATATAGCCAGGAAAATATGAGTAAGCAATAATCTTTGTTTCACCTGGATCTTTACCTGAGACACTTGTTGTCAGGAGTTTGACAACAACTGAGTAGTCAGTTTAGGGTTTAGGAATACCATTCTCCTGGATTTTGGTGACTGCTATTATCGAGACTGTGTTAATTATGGATTTAATATTACTATATATACAGCATCGTCTGGTGTTTCAAAAGTGAAAAATAATTGAGAAATCATCACTATATCAAGTGATACATTAGGTGAATATATCAAATCACACTCAAAGTATTCAATGTAAAATATCAGTAAGTTTAATATGAATTGTGGGTAACATTGGTTTTGATATATTGTTTCTTAAGATGATATTTACTACTAAACGAAAAAATACACTGATTTTTCAAGTGATAAATAAACAGCAAAATTCCTCTTTAAACCATATATATTTGGGGACGCCTGGATGCCTCAGTCAGTTGAGCATCCGACTTCGGCTCAGGTGATGACCTTGCAGGCCATGAGTTCAAGCCCCGTGTCAGGCTCTGTGCTGATAGCTCAGAGCCTGGAGCCTGCTTCAGATTCTGTGTCTCCCTCTCTCTCTGCCCCTCCCCCACTCACACTCCTCTGTCTCTCAAAAAATGAATAAATGTTTTTTAAAAATTTTAAGTATACATATTTGTTAGAAATGAGCATTAGAATAAAATGTTTTCCTCCAAAAAGCCAGTGGGAGTATTTATTAGATTGTAGCTGTAGTGTGTTTCAAAGCATTCTTATCAACTTTTGACCATCTTTTAGACAGATGAGGAAAAGGCAAAAGGAGAAACTGTATATCCCAAGGATTTTTAAAACATCTGAGGTAATAAAAGTCTTCATTTCTTGTAAGAAATACGAGATTGACAAATGAAATTATAGATACAGGGACTTAACCTACTTTAGCTATAGTTCTTTCACATGCAACTTGCATTCTCTCAAGACATTTATTTAATTTCTGTATGTCAGTGCATCTCAGTTCAGCCCATCTATAGAAGGAAAGAAGTAAACCAACACATTTGTTGTGTTTGGATGTTATGTCACTTAACCTTTATAATAAATTTATCAAGATTTCACCCATTTTATAGATAAGGAAGTTGAAACTCCAAAAATGTTAAGTAACTTACCCAAGCTTATGAGACCAATATATGGAAAGGCTAGGGTTTGAATTTATTTCTGCCTGATCTCAAAACCCATGCTCTTCCCACTATATCACATTGATCCCTTGGTACCCTCAAAGGCAGAGGAACTTCATCAATGTGATAAACTGATGTAATAATCCAACCATTATATCTGTCTTATAGACATGCTAATTAGCACCTTAAGTGGATTTATCCCTGACTGCCACCAAATTTAGTATCTTTCTCTTTTTAAATGGAAACATTTCATTTAAAACACCTTCTGTTTTTTCCAACTACATTGTTAATTTCTGAGACCATATAATTTTACATTAAGAAATCTGAATAGTTAATATATTCACATGGTTCAAATCTCAAAAAGAATTTTAAAAATACAATGAAAGGAGTCATTTTACTTTGCCCATTAAACACCAAGATCCTCTCTCATAAGCAAACCATTTTATTAGCTTTTAAATATGCTTCCAGAAATACAAATCAAAACCACACTCAGATATCACCCTCCATACAGATTGAGAGTGGCCAAATAGACAAATCAGGAGGAGACTATGGAGTGCTGGGGAGAGGATATGGAGAAATGGGAACCCTCTTGCTGTCGGTGGGGAGGCTACAAATGGGTGCAGCCACTCACTGGAAACAGTGGGGTTCTCAAAAAATTAAAAAATAGTGGTGACCTACCCTACCCTTATTGATGATACAGTACTTTGCTGATTTACAAGGATACACAGTACTGATGATGCGCCTTAGAGAAGGCGCACTTTTTAATGTTTATCTATGGCGCGCACTCTCAACAATAGCCAAGCCATTGTGGAAAGAGCCTAAATGTCCATGTGATGATGGATAAAGAAATTGTATTGTGCCAAGCCTGGGTATGGCTGATGGTTAAAAAAGCGTCATCGGCTTCAACCAGATCCTGAATCTGTGAGTCCGTGGGGTTCGAGCCCCACGCGCGTCAGCTCTGGGCTGATAAACAGAGCCTATTTCCAGTCCCTCTCTCTCTGCCCCTCATTGTACTCTGTCTCTCTCTGGCCCAAAATAATCATCTGCATGGTGTGAAAAAAATTATAAAAAAAAAAAAAATTTGGTTTATGCTGTCAGATACTATAGCCAGCAATGAGAAAAAGGGCCAAAATATGGCCTTTGTAGCAACATGGATGGTGAACTGGAGGTGTGATTATACTAAGTGGGTGTTTCCTTGAAAGATGAATACCATATGGTTTCACTCTCTGTATATATGGATCTGGCTTTCTTTTAAAAAGTATACTG